TAGATTTTAGTTGTTTTTTGATAAATATAAGTGCTAAACTCGTAAAACCATTCTTGAAATAAGTACCAATAATTTTGCGATGGTAGAGTGTAAAGAGGAAGAATTTTACCAAGATCAAAAGTCGGGAAAACATTCGTTACTTAGTTGTTCGCGTTGTTATATCCTACTACGTAGACTACAGGTTCTAAAATTACGGAGCCTCAGGACACTTAGGGCCTCCGCGAGCTACTCGTTCACTTAAAAACTGTTCTCGACTCACTGTCCGATCTCCCTCAACCTTCCTATCTTCGACCCCCTGCCTTATTTCCTTATCCTCGACTCACTGCCCTATCTCCTCCCTCAACCTTTCTATCCTCGACCCACTGCGCTACCTTCCTATCTTTGGACCCACTCAGGACTATCTCTCTCTACCTTCCTATCCTCTACCCACTGCCCTACCTCCCTCAACCTTCCTATCCTCTACCCACTGGCCTACCTTTCCTATCCTCGATCCACCTCCATCAACCTACCTATCCTAGACCCACTGCCCTACCTCCCTTGACCCACTGCCCTACCTGCCTCAACCTTCCTATCCTCTCTACCCACTGCCCTACCTTTCCTATCCTCGATCCACTGCTCTACCTCCATCAACCTACCTATCCACGACCCACTGCTCTATCTGCCTCAACCTCCCTATCCTCTACCCACTGCCCTACCTTCCCTATCCTCGATCCACTGCTCTATCTCCCTCAACTTTCCTACCTCCCTAACCCATTGCCCTATCTCCCACAACTTACCTATCTTTGAACCACGGTGCTATACTGCTCAGTACCTGACCCAACGGCGCTTCACTCACGACCCGATCGCCACACTGAACTTTACTATCTTGGGTCCAACTTCCATGTGTTATACTGGTCGAGTATGCCAATGAGATAATTCAATTGTACGTCGACAAAACATGATTGACGGCATTCGTAAATGTAGGCTGGAATCTCAATTGATAACCAATAACCATAATTAGTAGTTTAAAAATGTGCTACTAATTAGGCTACTGATGGCATCGGGTTTGGAATCACTGGTTTTAAAATTTTAACAGGCTTTTCAATATCGACGTATCTGAGTTCCTTTCGGAAATTCATTCATTGTCGCCTATATTTCCGTGCAAGGCAAAACGATGAGAAAATAAGTAAGTATTTGCACGCTTGGTCTTTTTCAACGTATGTTCTGCCATGTCCGGCATTTTTTAATCAGATAGGTGTATATACAAATTTCTTTCACGCGACTGAGAAGGCTGAAAAGTCAAAAATATAGTCGCTCAGTGAGTGTAATCCCTTCCAAACTATTTTTAAGCCATGAAATGTTTTGTCGTAGCTAGCGTTGCCAACTGTACTTCAAAGTACAGTCCCACAATTGAGCTTATCTTATCTGCAACTTCATGAAGTTGCAAAGGACGCAGTTCCCACTCAATCTTTGGCATCGCTCTTACTATAAAATGTTTAAGAAAAATACTTCAGATAAGTCGATATCGAAGTCGATATCGAATGGTCTGTTAAATTTTTAAAACCAGTGACTCCAAACCCGATGCCATCAGTAGCCTAATTAGTAGCAAATTTTTAAACTACCAATTATGGTTATTGTTTACTATTTGAGATTTCAGTCTACATATACAAATGATGTCAATCATGTTTTGTCGACATACGATTGAATCATCTCATTGGCATACACGACCAGTATAACCCATGTAAGTTGGTCCCGAGATAGTAAAGTTCAGTGTGACGATCGGGTCGTGAATAAAGCGCCGTTAGGTCAGGTACCGAGTAGTATAGCACCGCAGTCCGAAGATAGCTAAGTTGTAGGAGATAGGGCAGTGGGTCGAGGATAGGTAGGTTGAGGCAGATAGAAAGGTTGAGGGAAGTAGAGCAGTGGGTCGATGATCGAAGTTAGGGATGATAGGGCAGTGGGTCGAGAATATGAAGGTTGAGAGGGATAGGCCGCTAAAATAACACGCGAAAACCAACAAAACGAGGTAATATTCACAACCATGAAATCTGTCTGAATGACTAAAGCAGTGGTGGGCAACCACCGGGCCGCGACCCATCGCCGGTCCTCGGAATAATAAAAATAATAATAATAAGTTTATTTCGACTCCATAATCAGCATAACAATACATTTGACAGATAAAAACAAATAAATAAAATCTGATTATGAAATCAGGGGAGCAAACAAAACCTTAGATAAGGTTTATAACGTACAAAATATAAGATGAAAGGTTTTGCCAAGAGGAAGTGGTACGTGTTTACTCACCTAAAATTATCAAGTTATTTCACACACGCTCACATGCACCCACCAGCCACACACACACACAGCCACTGAGAAGTTATTTAAGTAAGAATGAAACGCGATAAATTTAGGGTATACTATACAGTAAACAAAAAAATAAATAAATAAATACTAGAAAAGAAAATTATCTGCCACACCATATTGATATTTTTGTAATGGTTGCCATTGCCAAATTGATCGATCTTCTAATCGTTAATTAGGTATATAAAAGGAAGATTCTATTGAAAACATATTGCCAAGCTGATTATAGTTGGAGTCAAATGCCAAGTTGCCCAACCAAAGTTGCCAGAATTGGGTGCATGAAGAGGTGGGCGAGACCATTTCATTCCCCAAATTAGAGTCTATTATTGCCAAATTATAGTCCAGATTGTAATAAGTAATTAAGTTACCGGTAACAGTAAAATTACTATAATTAAGTAAAGTAGGATGTGGAAATAAATTGGTTACAAAGGGTCTAAGTGAGGTTTTTCATTCTTGGGTATTGATTTCAGACAAGGATATGGGAATGAGGTTGTTATTTCACAGGATATCGGGAGTCTTTTTTTGTTTTTTTCCTTATGTGTTTTACTTCATTTAATCACTTTGAAGTAACCTGAAAAACAAAAAATAAAACTGCGAGTAGATGTTTCAATGATTGGGTGAAGGGGAACGCTCTGAACTATTTATTACAGGCAAAAAATAATTGTTTAATTAAATGGGATGTATTGTCATTATATAGCGATGGATAGATGATCTATGATGACATTCTGCTTGGGACAGAGAAAAATTTATCACACCATGCAAAAAACACACAAAATTTTACTATCTATACCTTGGCCAACAAGTCAACTCAAACACCATGCCTTAACATAAAACGCATGCATACATAAATGATATAAAAACCACATCCAATTACAATGACCCACAGCAAATTAAAATCTGAAGGGGAGAATCCAACATAGCTCTACTGCTCGACTAGTTGCAATAATTAGTAGCCGGTCCTCGGAAAGGTTACTACCGGTCCGCAAAAACGTGACGCAAAAGACGGACAATGTCCTAATAACATGTTTAGTTGATTAACAACTCAAACAATAATTAGTTGAAAAGAGTCTTTGTGATTTATAAGGAAGCTACGTTGGCAAGCTTTTGGGCAATGCTGCTATCTGAATACCCCGACATTGCAAAAAAAGCTTTACAGGCATTTTTACATTTATGTGAGATCGGGTTTTCAAAATTAACAACTACAAGATTGCAGTAGGCTAAAAGTAAGAGGTACGTTACTTGAATAACATCTCTTTTATTTTTTATTATCTATAATTTCTGTCAAGTTATTCGCTTTTCCAAAGTACTTTGTATTTTATAGTTCTGAATACCGCTAAAAAAGATCAGGATTCAAAAAAAAAGATATTCAGGTTGTATTTCCATAAAACCTCTCATGATCGCATTTCAGCCAGACAATTTGAAGGTATAAGAGTATATTGAAATAGAAAACAATAAATTATAAAGAATATCATTTTGCCATGTCATGGATTTTTCAAATTGAATTGAAATAATAATAAAATATGGTATCATGTGATGATGAAAGGGTTAATATTGTTCGATTTAGTGCTGAGTCACAATAATGGAAAGAAGTCTCGTGTAGTTTCGTGCCTAACGTACTTCTAGAGAGCGTAGCATAACAGTTTTTTGATATGTCAATCCTAACCCCCACCTGACTACGCCATCCAAAAACCAAGTCACCATGACATCACAAACACGTCATAGAGCTTGCCAAATATACGATAACTGACTAACGTCATCGATCTCTCTCATATTGGGATCGTTGCGACCATTACACCACAATGGTTGCGACCAGAAAACGAGAGAAAAAGCTTGCTCGATTGCGCGTCTTGGATGACAGTTCGTAGAGTTTCGAAGGGCTCTGTTATGTCACTGTGACGTCGTAGTTACGTAATATTTGAATGGCGTAGTCAGGTGAGGGTTAGGATTGACACATGAGAAATTGTTATGCTACGCCCACTAGAAGTAGGTATGTAGGAACGAAAGTACATGAGACCCCACCGACCCTATCTATCTGGTTATACTTTGCGTGTTCGCTGACCTTGCAGAACTCAATTATGTGCGCTAGGATTTCTGTACTCTTCGTCGCTATAGGGTTGGTTACGGCCCGGCTTCCACTTTATTGAGACTGATAATCTGAAACAAATAATGAAATAACTGGCTAACTAACTTATAATCCCATACCCGACATGGACTGGTACCGGTAATGAAGACGCGTAGTCAACAATAGATTATGCGGTTGTATTGTCCTTCAAAGTGTATTTATTAATTGGGACCAGTCGAGTGTTTAGGTTACATAAGTTTGACGCCCGAACGATACCCGTTCGTGTCTTTGTCTTTTTTTTATTTTGAATATATGTTTGTGTGTTGAATGTGGGTAAACATTGCCACTCAGTTTCTCCGATTTTCCCAATCTTCTGTGTGTTCATTGTTTGTGTTTTGTGTATGATTTTTTGCGGGAAAATCAAAATGTACCTGTTATACTTATACTCTTCTGAAATGAATATTCGGTTTGTTATTATTTCCATACCTGGCATGGTTTACCACATGGTCAAGCCTTCTGTTCAGCTTACCTCTCTATAAAATCCTAGTTGAATTTAGGGATCTAGACTCAAAATAACATCTTCGCATAATATTTACAGAAAATGTAAGACATTTTTAATAGAAAATGTGTTCTATACGTGATATCGAAAGCAAAAAAATTGTGGAAATAAACGAGACGAAAACAACATTTGGTCGCGGGCCGTTTCTGGCAGTCAGAGATAAAAGAGTTTCTCGGAACCATGGCACTATCAAACAAGTCGGGAGCGGAATAGAAATAACATCAATTCATGTGAATCCGTGTTTTTATGCGAAAAAATCTGAGCTCGACAAATGGATGAAACTGGACAAAGATGAGGCAGTGGTTCTTCGAGTTGGAGATATATTTTCCCTCCTGCCGAAACAATATATTTATGAGGTAATAAACGATTCGAAATCAGAAAGTGGGAACGCTGAATCAGCAGATATTGAAAGTACAAATATTTCCTCTAATAAGACCGATTCTGAACCAAAAAAAGATATTGTTAAAAATAATAACCACGAAAAAAAAATTAATGTTGAAATCAAACCAACTCCAGAAATAGATACGTCAACGAAAAAATCAAATACAAAACAGAAAATAAGTGATACGGAATTGGAAACTGTAAATCTGGCAGAATCTGAAACTGTTTCCCAGACCACTCGCAAAAAAGAGTTCCCAACCCCATCTAAAATTAAAAAAATGGGAACACAGAATTCTTCCATGGATGGAGAAAAAGAAATTGCATTTCCGACGGAGAAAAAACGAAAACTTCCAGCGTGGATGTTAAATCAGACTGAAACACCAAAAAATGATTCGAAAAATCTGACAAAAACGCCAAAAAATAAGAAATCTAATGCAAAGCAAACTCCAAAATCCTCGACAGCGAAACGTAGACAGAAAATGCCGTCGGTTAAGTTTGACTCTAGTGATGATGAGGATATTACTATTAATACTGCAACTAGTGGGAAAGAAATACCAAAAAGGAGAACGCAGGTAAAAACAAGAGATGAAGATTCGCCAAAAAAAGCTGAACCCGCTGTTAAAAAAGGAAAAAGCCTTGAAAATTCAGCGAAAAGAACTGAAATTTCTATTAAAAAAGAAAAAAGCATTAAAAAATCACCAAGAAGGTCACCTTCCAATGACACAAAAATTTCAACTCCTACAAAACAACAACAACGAAAAAGTGAAATAGACAATCTTGAACAGACTAATGAAAATATAGAAATGGTCGACGTGAGCATCGCGGCTCAAACCATAAACACTAGTTCGAATCAAATGTCACCGAGCAAGGCATTTGTTGATGATGTTGCCACGACAACACCATCCAATGTTTCTCATCCATCAGGAGATGACCTTTCACCCCCTCCTCAGCAAGGAGCTTCAAATACAACAGGTATGAACAGTGACAAGCAGAACATTGGCAGTAATGCTAACAGGTTTGCTGATCTCATAAAATTCAATGAGACTGTTCTTTAGAACCAGTGCGAACCGGCTGAATCCCACCACTGGGTGTGAATAACTTTTATATCCATCCCGGTGGTGAAAGTCGAAAGACTGCTTGATCTTGAGATAGGATTTTGATTTTTTTTTCTGGGAGAACGAAAGCTAATAAGCTGACTTAATCATAAGATTGGAAAGTATACAGAATTACCATGACGCACTACATACTCCTGGGATTGGGATTTGATTTTTAACCTGGGATTCGATTTCAAGGATTTCACCACTGAGCGTTCTCACAGTCGATTAATATAAAAGTGTGAAATAGAGGAATATAAGTAATATTTGCGGCAGTGCTTCTGAGTCATGATTTGACTCGGAGCTCTAGCTTATACAGAGCTTTCTCTGAGTGAAAGCCGTCTAAAACATTGTACGAAAAATAAATCAATAAATACTACCACAATTTATTTATTATTTCTAAAACAGCACCGTCGCCAGCCAGCACCAGTGCCCCACCTCGCTCATCCTGTGCATTTGAATCGTCTTGTTATCGTAAGAATCCGACACATTTCCGAGAATTCAGCCACCCGGGTGACGCTGACTACATTGACCCTGGAACCAGTGATGGTAATTTTATTTCTTCTTGATTTTTTCGGCCCCTCAAGATCACGGTTCGGGAAATCCCTTTCCTTCACGATTTTTTTAATAAGGTTAGCTTTATTGCTTTTCATTTTGTCAAAAGTTGTGGCAACCACGAGTTATGTTTTTAAGTTACATTTGCACAATTCAATTATTATAGAAGACATTTTAAATGTTCATATCGTTCATGGATCGATTATTTTGCTCAACCGAGAAATCATTATCCACTGAAAAGGTTGCCTCTCTCAAAAAGTGGCGGCGACTGTTTCACAAAACCTCGCATCTGAATTTTGATTTGGGAATTCCGAACCCCCCTTTCCTCCTTTGGAATATCCCAGCTGTAACCCTGTGGTCAGTATAGGCTTTAACTTCAATTGATATTGAGTTTGTCTTCATGGACATTTCAAACGTTGGACAAACTCAGCGGGGTATTGAGGGTTGGGAACCCTTCGAACTGTGAAAAAAGGCATTATTCTGTATCTTACATACTGTATATGCTTGTTTCACTGCCCGATCTTGATTAAGGACCCGTTTGAATAGCCGCCTGTGTGAACAGTACAAAAAAATAAATAAGGGCCGATGCTTGAATACCCGCCCGATGTAGAAGCTGATTTTTTTAACACTCACACCTTAGGCGCCCAATACATAAGATTGCGTAACACCATGGTTCTCAAACTGGGTGCGCGACGTCCAAGTGCGTCGTTTCAATATTGATAGGGCGTCGCAAAACTTTTCTTTTTTTGCGGATTTGTACCTGCGGTGCGTAGAAAAAGTCAGAATTTCGATTATTCTCGTTTAAATCATACTTGAGACCTGAAAATAACAAGCGCCCAGGCTTGAATAAGGCCCGGTTTGAATAAGGGCCCGGTTAGTGAGTTGGTTGGAAAAAATATGGGCCCGGGCTACAAAACGAGCAAATACGCTAGCTATTTTTCGTAGCTTGAACCTGCTAGCTGTTACGACCCAACTTGGCAATTAGAAATTTCAGAACCTTCGCCTTTGAAAAATTCCTGGTTATGCCATAGAATAAACTGGTCCATGTTTTACTAAATTGTGGAAATGCGCTGAACTTCTACATTGCCATTCATATTTTGAGATTATTTTCTCTATTTCACTCAGATGATAGCAACAGACCTGAATGTCCGTACGGAACAAGCTGTTACAGGAAGAATCCTTTGCATAAGAAACAATACCGACACTGTAAAAGAGTGGCACCTAAGAGAGCGGCTAAGATGTGAGTAAGTTATCATGGAGGTTTTAACAAGTACTTTAGTTATGATGAATTCACTCATTTGCTGATTGTATAAAATAGATCACGGGTCGGCAACCTTTAACATTGAAAAAGCCATTCGACATCCTCACCACTCTCGACTACTACCTGCTGCTATGTTTAGATAGTGAATGGTAATAGACTTCATGCCCCCGACTTTCATTGAATCCCAACTGGGGTCTCGTGTAGTTTCGTACCCAACGTGCTTCTAGTAGGCGTAGCATAACAATTTTTTGATATGTCAATCCAAACCCCATCTGACTACGCCATCCAAAAATTACGACATCACAATCACGTCACAGAGCTTGCCAAATATACGTACAATCGCCCGAAATGGCATCGGCACCGACGACAAAGAACTGAGATAAAGTCATCGATAAAGTCATCAATCTCTTTCCTATCGGGATCGTAGCAACGAGAAAACGAGAGAAGCATGTGTTCGATTTCGGGCGCTCGTTTGCGCGTCTTGGATGGCAGTTCGTATAGTTTGAAGGGCTATATCACGTCACTGTGACGTTCTAGCGACGTAATTTTTGGATGGCGTAGTCATGTGGGGGTTAGGATTGACAGGTGAAAAAATTGTTATGCTACGCCCATTAAAAGTACGATAGGTGCGAAACTACATGAGACCCCCCAACTGCTTCCAGCATAAAACTGCTGTAACCACTTTGATTCATGGAAGCCAGAGCTCCGAAAGAACCGCAGGTTACTGATCGCTGATATAGAGGTTTCCCTGAGCATCGATTATCGTAAAAATGACCAATCAGCAAATAGTCATCGGTGACGTAGCTATTGCAATTTTTGCACCCGCCTAGGCATGTTTGTGTATCAGTGCCTCGTTTGCTGTTTTGTGTTTCCAAGAATCATTTGTAAATGAAGTATTTTAATTGTCATTATGTCTCTAATGAGCTTTAGTTTAGTAATAATCAAAATTAGTCCTGAAAAAGCTGCAAAAAATTAGCTATTAGCACCTGTAAATGGCACGGGGTTGTTTTTTTTAATAAAAATATAGGGTTGGAACATGAAAGTCAGTTTCTAAGTTGCGACACAAGAAGTATGAACACAAAAATCCTTTTATATTTAGCCGAGCAACTGGCAAATCAGTGAGATAGGACGGTAACAGTTTATACAATTATGAAACCATAGGAGTCTTGCCTCGCTACTCAACTTTCCTCTCTCCCAAGAGAAAAAAAATTCTGTCAGTCATTTCAGTCAAGCAGTAAGTCTTTCCCTTTTTAGCCGAGCGGCTCGCAAAGCAGCGAGGAACGACGAGAGTAGCTCCGATGATTATGATTTTGACGACAGCTTCCTTAACGATGATTCAGATGATGATATTTCTGATGAAGATTCGGACTGGAATCCTTCACAAAACTCGGAAAAACAGAAGGTTTGGTTAATGCATTTTGAGGGAATTTCCGATAATTCAGTATAAACGTATATTTGATACTCCCAAAGTATGTGTACCAGGTTAGGGTTAGGCTATAATTTTATCATGATTTTCCGTATTTTAGTTCTATTACGAGTGAGTTCGGGAACTATCTGTGCCAAGCCAAGTGAATATACCCCCTGCCCATAGGTTTCAATTCCTTTACACAACTTGATGTAGAGTGGGCGAACAAAATTAGTTGCCTATATATTGGTACACACACTTCTGGAGCGACGTATATTTAGTTGCCAGAAATACAATAAAAATACAGTTGACAATTTCCTCGAGTAAGATCACTCACTTAAAGACTCAATTTTAAGCTCTGACGTTAAAATTTGCACCGCCTTTACTCGAAACTCCGATTACCTGTGACTTAGAATATTCGGCACTAGTCCACTAGCGTTCAAACCCCATGCCAGTATGTAACTCTTGCAGGTTACTACCCCCCCCCCCCCCCTTTCAAACTGTTTTCTCTGACCCAATAGCTGTTACTCTAACTTGGCAATTATAAATTTCCTGAACCCCTGTTGAAAATTCCAGGCTAACTGTATTAAATCAGAAAGGTTCCGGTATTTTAAAGATTACTAGTTCCTTACGTGTCAGTGAACACTTGTCACAGAACCTTGTTAAGATACGGAGGAAAAAATGTGTTTTGTACATTTCAGAAATCAACTCCACGGCGGAAGCGCAAACAGCCGAATTATGCAGAATCTGACTCTAACGATTCAACAGACGAAGAAGATTTGTCCGACCTCGTGTCCGATGCAAAAAAGTTTGCGACAAACAGAAAAATGTGGAAAAAGTAGGCGCAGTTGGGAGGAGAGTATTTCTTCAAATTAGTTTTTACGATATTTTGACCCGGCTTCGATCAATCCAAAATCTTCATCCAGAGTGCACTCCTGTTTTTGCACAGTTGAAGTAGTTTGCGATTATCAGAATATTCAATTGAAGAATACTAGTAATAATACAGCTAATACATATCAAGATTCCATCTGGAAAACAATAATCCGAAAACTCCCAGCCATCCACAGTCTACTTATAAAAGTTATCGGGGCCAATGCTCCAAAACCATCAATGAAACGTGCGGTTAGAATTCGAATTCTCGTTTGGAGGTCGGGTTTCAGCAGTTCGTATATAAACTATAATTTTTTATGAACCATGAGGCGCACTAAAATTTTTTTTCTCTTCTTAAAAATTGATCTTGCGCCTGATGTATGAATCAGTTAGTGCTTTATGCACCTCATGTATAAAACAAAACCCAGTCTAAGCAATTTATTGACTGTGCGTTTTATTGTCCGTAAAATATGATATTATGAAGCGTCTTAACTTCTAACTACTAATCAAACTAGCTAGATATTAATCTGACTCCGAAACAGAAAGAATAAATAGGTTACCGTGTTCTATTTGAGATGTCTGTTAATTTGATATAACAGGAAAAGGTCCAGAGAATGCCTCTATAAGATTGTTACAATTACTACTTGGTCACCCAGTTCAAATTCTCAGGTTCGAATTTCATACAGATCAGAGATGATTGCGGATTTCTGCCACAGATCTTGGAATGAATTTTGGTCGTTTTTTTGATAAGCTTCACTAGTGGTTCCCAACCGTTTTGTTAAATTCCACCCTCTGCCTGATTTGCAACCCTTTGTTCTTCCTTTCCTTAGTATAACAGCTACTTTATTCAATCTTTAATGGGCTTCTTAGCTATTGTTATATTTGCATTCCTATTTTTGCAAAATTTAAGTAGTTTTTTAGGTGCTCCCTAAGTATTCGTACCAAGATGGCGCACAACCTGAACATAGTATGTGTACCGGATCAGGGTTGTTCAGGTTGTGCGTCATCTTGATAGGAATACTTCCGGAGCGATGTTTTTCATGCAATTTTGAATAAGTAATATAGCAATTAGTATAATCAACTCAAGAATTCTGGTAATACTACAGCGAATACAAAAGCAAAATTACTTCTGAAAAACTGCAAAATTACTTCTGTGTTGGGAAAGTTGGCTTTACCCGAAACCGGCATGAACTGAAAATTTTCAGCACAGCATAGAACTGGGTGGTCCAAGGTTGCGAGATCAAAAGGCTGCAAATAATTTATATAGAGGCCTTTCGGATCGCAGTCTGGGAAAACCCAAAAGTGATTCTTTTACCTGACCCACGTGCCAGGGTTTGTACCACCCGGGCATAAAATTCAAAATTGGAACTAATCTGTGATCTTCTCCATTTAATTTTTATTTTTTCCGATTATTTACTTTTTACACTTTTATATTTATAGTAGTGATCACAACACTAGATTTAATTTTCCAATAAAAATCACAGTATAGTGTGTTGATATAATGTGGATAATTATTTTCATCGTACGAAGACCAATATAGGTCGACAGTTGGCTCATTGTGCTAAGCGGTTGGAATACGTATACCACCTCTGATTACCCTTCGTGAGTTCGAATCTTGTGGGGTTAATTATGTGCGAGGGGATTGCTGGACTTCTCACTGTCGTAATGTGGTTCAGTTACTACTTTCTCCACAATCAAGTCCATGCGTACGAAACAAATAACTGGCTAACTGATCCCATCCCCGACATGAACTTGTCATATGATAAGCCTCTTATCAACTTTCCTGTTCATCTTATTTAACGGCCATCTTAACGCCACCTTCCCCCTCCACATAGAGATAACTAAGAAATTTCTTTCTACATACAAAATTCAGATTTATTGAATATTTTGAAACTTTGAATCACTGATTAATTTCAATGTTTCTCCGGTTCAACAGTTATGGCCACGGTTAAATTTGACGCTATCAGGGCGAATGGGAATAATCGTTGTGACGTCACACTCGATGCGCCGTTTGCAAAAAAGAAAAGGCTCCGACCACCCTGGTTCAAGATCCTGTTGATAAAAAATGCCGTTTCCCCCCAAAATTTGATCTACATTATAATATTACTAAATAATTAAACGTAAATAGAGATTTGCAATGAATATACTGAGGTAGTAACTTTCAATCGGTCATTTTCAAGGAACGTAAGATCCCACGTAGCCCTCTTTTTGATCGTAACTGAGACGGCCATCCATACCTAATAGAGAAATAATGAAGACTTTAATTTGGTCCAATCGCCCGTTTATGAATGTTATTTTTTTGAGGTTGTCATGGAAATAATTCATAAAACGTATTTCAAATTTTCTATCAACTACTGATTAGCCTACTAGTTGCCGAGCCCGGTGTTGGGTAGAGTCCCTAAATCTACTGACTTTGAAATGCCCATGACCTTCGAACACTAATGACCTTGAAAAGGCAATGAACGCAAGTGACCTTGAAACGCTCATGACCTTGAAAAAGCAATACCCTTCAAACACGAGTGACCTTGAAACGTCCATGACCTTGAAAAGGCAATAAGTTGGAAACGCAAGTGACCTTGAAGCGCCCGTGATACCAAAATTTTTCAAAAAAATCCATATCCTACCTGCTCCCTCCCCGCTCTCATCAACTGGATCCGCGGTTGTATATTTTGAGGTGTCCGATACTCTGTCGGTTGAAGCCTGTGACAAAATTACATTTACTTTATGAAGTTGTGACAATTTTATGCGGCTTTTATTGGTGCATTTCGCTCCGAACGAGGCTCTAAGCAATTTTATGCGGCTTTTATTGGCGCATTTCGCTAAGCGCCACCGCATCTCCTATTACCCTGAGTCGGTTCGCAGGTTCGAATCTCATGCGGGATTACTAATGTAGGAGAGTATTGCTGGACTCCTCGTCGCCATTGAGTGGTTCACGTAACCGCTGGTCGGTTACGGCTTCCTCTACCATCAAGTCCATGCTTCCGAGAACAAATAACTAACTAACTAATACCCGACACGAACTGGTAACCGGACGAGAGGCCGTGGTTCATCATATGATTAAGCCATCTTATCGGTTACGTAAATCATCCTACGGCGGCGAGGAGTCCAGTTATCCTCTCGCACACAACTATTCCCGCATGGTATTCGAACCTGCTAACCCACGTAGAGTGATTATAGGTGCGGTGGCAATCGTATTCCTAACGCTTGCCACAATCCCAAAATATCAAATAAATAAAAACAAAAAAATGAAAATATCACCACCTCCATAGATTTTGCACTGCGCTCAATGATTTGTTTTTCCATGGCTTTCATCTGTTCACGAGTATCAAGGTCACGGAATTTTAGCCTTGCCAGATATTTCAATGCATCTACGAATTGTTCGTACGTGAGTCCACGCTCAGCTTTGTCCCTGTTTGATCGGTAATAGAACAAATATGGCATGGGATTAGAGCTAAGAGCGTGCGAACCCGGTCTTAGAATACCGTCACATAAGCGAACCCGTCTCTGTTTATTCATTGTAGGTGGGTCAGGTTTGGTGTGACGTAAAAAGTTACATTTTATGAACATTATTTACATTGGCACAAAAGAAAATGTGGAAAACAATAGGCCTCGTGCTAAAACTAAATTTAATCGCAATCTCAACAAATTCCTTGAGCTATTTTTATCTGAAACATAAAAATTTGGTTTTAGTTTGGCGGCATCGGGAGGGCCAGATAAAATTACCCAAGCGGCCGGATTTGGCCCGCGGGCCGTAGTTCGCCCATGTTAGAGTTAGAGCCAGTGCGGACCCCGGTCTTAAATACCGCCATATAAGCGAACCCGTTTTTGTTTATTGCTTTTAACGCTAGAGCCTGATCGGCTTGGGTTGGACGACCCAGAAAATCTGTGACGTGTACCACAGCTGACGACCAGAATTATTATTAGCGTTTGTTATGCATTACAGTTATTCACGAGAAAAGCCGCCCAAAAAAATATGTCATAATGGAAATAATTACAGCACGGTATATCAATTATATATGGTTTTATTTTTAAATCTAACACAATCTATTTTTGGAAAGTCGGTATCTTTTCAATTCAAATTGCCTATACCCGAGCGTATCTCGAACTGCTGTTCCGCAAGCTTCTTCGGTGTGTTCCGCGGGACAGGAATCGGTTGGCATGGCAATCTCGGTGGTACTGCGACGTCTCCCAACTGGCGACAAACAAGCGAACAGTCATTGTTATCAAAAACGGCTGACAGACCTCGTGCCTGTCTGAGAAGCAAGCCGTTTCTAATAGACGCTCAATGTTATTACCGTAGCTTAATTATTTGATTGTGCAGTTTGCAGCAAACTTTTGAATTTTACCATAAGCTGTAGCCTATTTCCTAGAAACCACCCTTCTCGATGGATTTTCATTATCAATTTGACATTATAATTTCTTGGCGTTCCGCGAGGCGAGATAAAAAGCGTAGGTGTTCTGGGGCGAAAAAAAAAGTTTGGAAACGCTGACCTGCCCAACACTGTACGAGGTATGTTCAAACCCCAAGATATTTACCCCGCAACTGCTCACCTGTTTCTCTCATAAGCGATGTCTACATCAGCCTCAGTAACTTTCTTATCAAGAACAACCAAGTCTCTGCAAATCTTTCCAAATTGTGACAAATCCAGAAGTCTTCTCGCCCCGCAATACGATTTATATATGTTCTCGAGCGACATGTTGTTATATTCGACTAAACAAAGAAAGAAATTATTTATCCTGGACTCTGGGTAATTTGATTCGATCAATTTAATAAGTTTTGATAGCGTCCCCATATCGCTCTCTTAGTGTTGTTTTTGGACACGTTTAGTGGCCATAACGATCGTTTCAAAATTTTGTTGTTATTGTTATTTTCTTTCGTCATTATCATTAAAAAATCGCTTTTCTCTTTGAATACTGGACCAATTGCTTTGAAATTTTCAGTGGTTGAAGATAAAATTTTTCTCCAGATAGCTATTACTTTTTTTCCTCACTATGACGTCATTAAAATTATTGCCATTGAGTGGCGCTACGTGTCCATGTATTTGAGCATAGCTCTCTTGTTTGTCCATAGATTACGCATTCTTGCCATGTAATCTTGTCTATTGATTCACAATGGTTTCCAATATTCTGTTGCTTCTATTTCTGCACCCTAATTCGTGAAGGTTATTATAGTTAGCTAAATTATTACACTTGGCCGGGAAATAATTGTTTTCGAACTTCTGATTCGAGAGCATAGCCATCCCAGAATTTGAGAGGGCAGCCAGCAAGCAAATTTATTTTTGTTTTATGACGTAATACGACGCTTACTGGTGACTTTTGCTCCGAACAGCGATAGATAAGAGAAGCCACTGATGTTTAACAATATCCTGAAAAATAGCTTTAATAGCGTACTTCTCTGTCGAAGATATACAGGGCATATGAGCGTGCATTTTAATTTATCTCGGTTGGTTCATTTGGTGGAGGGATTATTGATAGTTAGCCAGGAATCGTTAGGTTTTCCGTAAATCGTTCAAGAATAGAGCAAAATGAAGTTGGAAAAGAGGTGGGTTACCTCGCTTCAAATGCCCCAAAATTGTCCTTAAAAAAATGTATACATTTTATTTTGACTAAAATTTAATCTCCGACTAATTTGAAAACGCGATTTTGACCTCAATATGTAAAACAATTGTTGATTGAGAATACTCATTTTTATGAGGCATTTCATACTCTCTCTCGCAAATAGTCCTGTACAGCAAGGCTCTGATCCTTCTTCTAACTTATAGGATTGATTAGAAGTTGGAGTAATCACTTTACATAAACAAAATAAGATATGAATGCTGCAGTGGGCAATATCAGGGTGGTGTCCCTATAGTCTTTGCCTCTTTCTCGTTTAACCTAACCCAAACCGAATAAAAAATACATCAGAAAAATAATGACAGTAATCCCAAAACCAAACAATTGATAAGTGGCAAAAGCAGGATATTACTCTACTACTCCTCAAATAAAGGGAATAAAACTGAAAAAAATTAAAAAATGGGACAATGACTATATCTGAAGAGACTCCGGCCACCGGTACCGAGTCTCTTCTTGTAACGAATTTGTTTTTTGGACATTTATCTTATTAATTACATATTTTTGTTCGACTTCTTTCTATTCAACCTGTATCAAAGTTAGACATTGATCACGGGTGTCGCTGCTCGATAACCAACATTGGTTCTTTGCCTCACCCTTCCCCGTGAAATGCGCTACTTTTATGTTTTTTCAGCTTTAGTTCGCATCAGGTGTGTTTTTATTTTGGTAAAAAATACGGCGCTTCAGAAGTATGTGTACCAACATGAAAGTAACTAATTTTGTTCGCATATTTTACATCAAGTTGTGCAAAGGGACTGAAACCTATGGGCAGTGGTATATTTACTTGGCTAACACAGACAGTCCCCGAACTCGTAATAGAACTAAAAGAAGGAAAACCGGAATAAAATGATGCCCTAACCTGGTACACATACTACGAGAGTCCTCAATAAATTATACTGACTGAATAACTTATCCTGATCTATGATAAAGCAACAGTACCCAACAGTTAAACCTTAATCACTTATTCTCGTACGTATACCTTAATATCTCACCTATGAACGTCATATCCGGTATCGATCGAATGAATTAGCTGTAAACACTGTAAGCAAAAATCAGTGAAATTAAATGAATTTCGAATCACTCCTGTTGAATACCAATCCGTATCGATTAAAGATGGGCCAAAATTTTGCCCGTTCAAACTGGCGGGCCATGTAAGTGTGACGTAAAAAGTTACATATTATGTAAATGTTTACAGTGTTACAAAAGCAAAGGTAGAAAACAAGCCTTTGGCAAACTATATCTAACCCACAGCCTGGAACAGGTTATCACGGAGGAAAGCCTTATGACAACTATGAAACGGTTGGAACTTATAAAACCAACGTTTGATCACCATGTTGGGTATGTGAATAGTCAACAAAATTATTGTTTCATACGCATGGACTTGGGTCCGAATATAAGATAACATTCACATATTCATACCGGGGAGAGAAGACGGCTCAATCATATGGCGGATCACGGTATCTCCCCTGGTCTTCTTTGGAAATAATTGATTATTTATTTGTTTTTGGAAGCATGAACTTGGTGGTGGAGGAAGCCATAACTTTCATAGAATCTGATGACAGCAATTAGAATATTTGCGAGTGTGATGCAATGCTAAATAATCCCATACCCGAAATGACAACCGGACGAGAGGCCGTGGTTCGTCATAAGATTAACCCGTCTTATCTCTTTCTACTCCCCTGGAATAAATATGTGAACCCATTCTACATTTTAACATCTTAATATAGCTGTTTTGATTTGTACTACGGTATCTTTGCAGTCTACCTACACCAAGGAAGAAAAAATGGAGTCGATGTTATGTACACAGTACATAGGCGTAGCTAGGTGTGTGTGGAGAATCTTCGACTGCGAAGTACGTCTGTAGAGAGATTCTTTAAGATATTGTTAGATAACAGTGGTTGCCTTTTGTCTAGTCTAGAGCAAAAGGCACTAGTGAGCATCGTATTACGTCCAGACAAAAAAAATTGCCCTTTCCCTTGAAATTTTGGGATGGCTACGCTCTTGGGCACTACACCAATTAACCATGTATTTTATTCTAATTTCCAAATTTGTTGATTGCAATCGATAGTAGCGCGTTATCCATCTTTGTAAGTTATATTTTCACAATCTCCCAGCAGCGATCGTGACAGTGTTTGTCACGTTTTAGTGATTAGAACACTTTACAGACGACAACTCATCATTTATAATACGTCGCCTTTGTTTTTATGAAATGAATGAAACACTTAAATACAGAATACACTTCAAAGTCGCAAGTCTTGTTGGGTCTTTGGCTGAGCCTCCGCAAATTTTGAAGTTCGAGCTAAATTTTCTCGAAGAATCCCTGTGCAGTATTTTAATTTTCTCATTGTCTACGTTTTATAACCAATCTATCCGCACTTATAAGACGAATTGTATAAAATTCAAATAGGCATAAAAGCAAACTGATAGAACAATATCGTCTTTGAAGCGTAGCAAGTTTAATAATAGTGACAAAGAGTATTTGGTTATATTTATATTACCCTGGGTTTTCGTTCCGTGAAAAAAAAACTGCGTATCAGGAAGAAACACCTAAAAGTCTTGTATAACCGGATGATTGGCTAAGCCCCAGCAAATTGTAAAGTTGTCTACGTTTTATCACAAATCTATCCGTAGGCCAACTTGCAAGAATGAAAACTGGCAGAACAAATGGTGCTCCAGAAGTATGTGTACCAATATGAAGGTAACTAATTTTGTTCGCCTACTTTACATCAAGTTGTATAAAGGGACTGAAACCTATGGGCAGGGGTATATTCACTTGGCTAACACAGATAGACCCTGAACTCATAATAGAACTAAAATAAGAAAAATCGCACTAAAAATATGGCATAACCCCAACCTTAGTCAAGTAAAATAATTCCGTTCATAGTTGAGTTTCATCGAGGTTTTAAAAGACGTGACTCGAATCTGACTGCAGCAAAGTCAAGAACTCCAGACCCTGTTTCAAGATATTGGCTATTGCAAAGCGCACGGGTCGGCGATCTTTATCACTGGAAGAGCCATTTGACATCCTTACAATCAAATTCAAACCTACTCGAAGCCGCAACATCTACTCTAATGACAGTGACTATTGAAACTCTTCGAAAACCACTCACAATGACCCCCCCATTGCTTCTAACGAAAACATGCTGTAGCTACTTGGATTCATGAGAGCTAGAGCGCCGAGAACAAAGAGCCGCCGGTTGCCGATTCCTATCATAGGGGGACCCACAAGTAAGAATACACAAAGTCCTTAATTACTTATAACCCAATATATATAACTTGAATTTGTGTATGACTGTACCCTGAAGTTTCAAACAACTAGGACGCTTGGCAAAAGTTGTGTTCCCTGTATAGCATATGATCCGAACGACCTGCGTTCTGTTTTTAGAGTCGCTCTGTGTATCAGTGTCTGGTTCTCCATTTTTTATTTGAATATTACTCCTATTCTATTCATTTTTGGACGCTCCTGAAGTATTAGCACCAAGATGACGCACAACTTGAACAACCCTAACCTGGTACACATACCCTGTTCAGGTTGTGGGCCATCTTGGTACGAATACTTCGGAAGAACCCATTTTTGAATATTCGAATATATCGAAATTATTTCAACAAAGCGAAGTATCGCATTTAACCCTAGATACCTTAACTATTTATCCAAATGACCATTTTTCAGAAAATTACCACTAGAATATCGAATAGTCTGATCTCCCTCCCAGATTTCAGAAAAAACGCAGAAACATGCTAACCTGCTTTTATGGAACAATATTTGCTGAAAATTTTGATAAAAAATTGAAGCCACATTTATGTATCGGAAATAATGTCAAAAAAGCAGTAAAATAAATTGTATTTCAGAGCTAATCACGAATTTAATCAATAATTATTGTAGAAACTCATGTTTGAGTAAAGTTACAAGCGAATACAGAAATACGATGAGATACTGGGAAAAAATAGAATCATGACGGTGCATTGCCTTCTATGACTCAATAGTAGAGGAACATAATTCCAGGACAACGTTAAATGCAACCATGGAAACGCCAAAAGCCACCGAAGCTATGTAGAGTTATGAAGGTGCATCATGCGCCAGTAAATACCAGTTATACATTCCTATAAAATTCGGGTTGTTTTTCTGTTTTTTTTTTTCAACACCATTATGTTAATACTGTAAATTAAATGAGTTCTCTTCGATGAAAAAAAAATACAAAAATATTGAATTTTGATAAAATTAGAATAATATATATTTAAACATAATGCTGAAATAATTTTTTTTTTCATATTCCCTCTGTGAAAGGTTGTGAACAAGCAATATTTCAATGTTTCGTAATAAAAATTATTTTGGTTTAACGTTTGATAAATTGCAATGCACGAAGTCAAATTAGACCTAGTCATGATAATAAATGTCAGTGACAAACGATGAACTGAAAGCTAAGACAACGAGGAGTATGTTTGCGCGAGTACGTTTTGAGGGAGGTTTTTTGCGCGAAAACCTTTCACGAGAACAGCTGATATAAATCACCCTTGGATAAATAGAATTCCATTCCTTTATCATATTGGAGAAAATAGTTAAGGGGGGAAAATTTCTTTCAAAATTCGCCAGGTGGTAAACGAGAATACAACCTTGCTAAATGAGCATATTAAGTGCGACTCATGAAAAAACGGTTCTCGCAAATGGATTTCGCGTAAATGGTTTTCTATCCAAAGATCAGAAATAGGAGATGAATGAGAGTGATTAAGTCAAATGGGCCAGTGGTCCCAATAAAAACGGTAAAAACAGCGTTAAAAGGTGCAAACTAGGAACTTAATACGAAAATACTCATTCTTATATATACGATACATATACTAATAATCTATCGTTTGTGGTAAAATTATTTTCCAACTTTTTCGTCATATGTTCCTGAGCCCTTGTAGTTGCCGACGTAGCCACTGCCGTCAGCGAGATCCTTGCGGCCTTCGATTCCTGGAAAAGTGAGTATATTATTGAAAGCAGGGGGTTTTGTAGGCCTATACTTGCCAGCTTTCGAGGTGAGGGCTTTGACCTAATGTTGAAGCGTTCAGCTTTACTATGTTGGCTTGATAGCGCTTTTGCAATGTAAAGAAAAAGCTCTCTAGCCTCTATCATACATACAATTGTTTAGACCAGGGCTACTCAACTGGCGAACCGTGGTCCGAATCCGGACCTTTCGACCATTTAATTTGGACCGCGTCTGCTTGTTTGTTTTGGGAGCATAAGCACCGTTAGGTACTTTCAGATGATTTTGATACAATTTAAATACACAGCTATACAGTTTGTCGTACTGGTACCAATATGCGACATTTGTGTTTATATTTGCGAGCCATTATTTGACGTTTCGTTTATTTAATGGAAAAATATTCTGTAATGTCCGGACCCCAGTAATTTTGAAGTTTTCTAAACGGACCTTCGGTTAAAATAGTTGAGTACCCCTGGTTTAGACCTTCAAAAATCTTGAAAACCCACGGACCCGCTAGCTGTTACAGTCCAACTTGGCAACCAGAAATTTCAGACCCCCCCTCCCCCCATTTGAAAATTTCTGGTTACGACCTGTGGGTGGGCAAAGCGGAACTGGAAAGATTCTTGTCCTTCAAAATCATATTAGCCCCTTACTTATCAGTGACTGTCTGTACAGTTCCATGATTGGAGGAAAAGACATGCAAAACGTAAAAACTAACGCCGAGAAAATCTACCTTTGCCCTTTCCGCTTGCGTCGAATCTTTCTTTATGGGATCCGGTGTATTGTGACGCATCAGTCATCTTATCCACTCCGCCTGTCTTCGAAGTTTTCTGAATTATGACGACACGGTGTTTTAATATCATATGATGACGTCACAAATAAAATATAGCCTTCGTTGTTGAGTGCCGTTATCCACCAAACGCTGTCAGATCAGACTATTGAGTGATAGAGCAGTACCGTACTTTTGCGTGTATTTGAAGGGTAGGTAATTAGTGAATGTAATTTGGTGATATATATTGGGTTGGAATAGATGGAGTAACCACAAAAGGAAGAACTAAACATTCAGATAATTGAGCAAACGAAATATAGTTCAGCCGATGAGGTTTGCCTGTATTCGAAACGTTGGCTTAAATATACCGTTTGCTTCCTAGCAGCTGTGCATGCTTCACGAGTCACAAGCCTGGTAGCGGCTACTAGTCTATATGAAACCAGTGTCGGCATATGCACATGCTTTGCTATTAAAAGACACCAAAGTCGAGCAAAATGATCTGTGGGATACCAATATGCAGGTTTTATGGTTATTTGGATTAAATACCGAGAGACAGAGGTTTGCCTGTATTCGAAACGTTGGCTTAAATATACCGTTTGCTTCCTAGCAGCTGTGCATGCTTCACGAGTCACAAGCCTGGTAGCTGCTACTAGTCTATATGAAACCAGTGTCGGCATATGCACATGCATTGCTATTAAAAGACACCAAAGTCGAGCAAAATGATCTGTGGGATACCAATATGCACGTTTTATTGTTATTTGGATTAAATACCGAGAGACAGAGCTTGTATTGCTGTAAATGGGTGAGTTGGGATTTAGGTATTTTGAACATGTTTATTGGGCTATTCGAACCCCTACTGGATGAGACGTATCACGGCGTTGCTATTTGTTTAGAAAGATTTGAATACTCGGTTTCTGCATAGCTGAAATCTATGAAAATGTTGAGATGGGATAGACCAGGGGTAAGCAACGTTTTTTCTTTTTTCGGATCTTTTGTAGAAAGCGTTTTTCCTTGCAAAGGCCGCGTTCGAAAAATCCTTTAATTTAAAGGGCATTGGGATTACCGCAGGGGCGGGGGTATCTTTTATTGGGCTTCTCACCGTTACTCCTTGGTTGGTCGGCCCCTCGCCAGCGACAATCATCTGATAGATTGCTTGGGCTTGCTCATCCGCGGTCTTCATCTTCTTAAATTTTTTCTTTGAAAGCTCTTTCAAAGCTTCTTGGAATTGGTCAAATGTGATCACTCGGGCCGCTTTCGCTCTGAAAGAACAAATTTTAGGATAAGATGATCCTATCTATTCCCGGGGGAGAGAAACGAATATAAGGTGGCCTAACCATATGGCGCAACCACGGTATGTCGTACGGTTACCAGTCTATGTCAGGTATGGTTTTAGTAGGCTTACCATACGTCCCGTTTAAGGCGGGACAGTCCCGCTTTTCAGCGTTTTGTCCCGCAGTCCCGATAAGTCAGCCAAAAGTCCCGCTTTTCCAGCGTAATACACAAACGTGTTCACGTTACTGTTGTTTCTGTGTATCGCAGCGCTAGCCTACTTACTGAAGGTGAATGCGTTCGTTTCCCGCTGATTCCCATTGATGGCAGACGCATCGGATGTAAAACCAATACTAATTAGTCTAAATTCGAATTATTGGTACCGGTATTGTTAACGTCAATTCCTTCCTATTTTTCGAACTGAACCCGATATTTGGACAGAGAATATGCGCATGAAATTTCGATAACAATATGGTCAATAAAGACAGCCGAGACAGCTTTAAATGTAGGAATGTAGGCCTACGTAGTAAAATCGGAAAATGTGAAGATGCAAAATCACAGCTGAGGGGTTGTTGTCTTTCGAGGTGTCCCGATTTGAAGTCACAAAAATATGGTAACCCTAGGTATTAGTTAGTCAGTTATTTGTTTCAGATGCAAAGAATTGATGGTGTAGAAAACCCTAACCGGCCAGCGATTACACAAACATTGTTAGGGGGTTGTTGAGCCAAAGTTAATGAGAATAACATTAACATTTTCCGTAAAATAGAAAGTGTATTAGTGATCTTTTGTTTGCATTAGTTAGGTAACATCAGCTCTTTTGAAAAGATTGGATACGATACGGTATCGCCCTTCAAATTTATTACGTCCTCGGAAGAATGGCCTTGAGATTCAAAACTGAGTTGTGTAACTTACAATGCCAACACAGTTAAATCTAACGTCTTAATTAACCCTGACATGGGCAAACGACGATCCGTTGGGTAATTCAATTTGGCCCGCCTGATGCTGCCATGATATATATAACTAGAACCAAATTTTTATGTTATAGCTGAAAATAAGCCCAAGGAATTTGTTGATTTGCGATTAAATTTAGTTTCGTTACGAGGCTTATTGTTTTCCACTTTTGCTTTTGTAACACTGTAAATATTGTGTATTGTAAAAAATGTAACTTTTACGTCACACTTATATGACCTGCCAGTCTAGGTGGGCAAAATTTTTGTCCTCTCGTCCAAAAACCTTGCCCACCCCTGCTTAACTGATGGGCCATCGCGCCAACCTATAGGAAACTGTACACTTACTTTACTTTGCTGAACACAATGTCAACGTCGGTAGAGGTGACCAATTTCCCATCAATGACTTTCGTGTCCTTGCAACATTTTGACCAATTCTTGCCGTCCATTTCGTTTGTTTTGGACTTGTCTGTTTTCCCATGGACGCAGAAGGTTTGGAACACTTTTCTCAAATCCTCAACGGCTACGTCATTTCCCGCCATTGTTTTAGGTTAGGGTATATAGGTAACTAATGCTTATACTCTGATAAATAGAAACAAGAGAGCAATGCTAAAACATCTTTTATTAAATCAATTATACTAGCTACAAGATACAATTTGAGTTTTCTGGCTTTGCGAATGCTTTGAATTCTCTGATGATGATATAGCTGACGATGCAGCAGGTAGTGGGCTACGGTCTCAGGTACAAAAAACGGGTCTTACTACTTACTGAATACAGCGCGAAACACCGCAAAACAGCGCAAAAGAGCGCGAAACAGAAGGAAACCAGCGCAAAACAGAGGGAAACAAGCGCAAAACAGGAGACGCAGTCATTACCACCTCCTGCCAGGAAAGAACCACGGCGCCTCTCGCCATGGTTTTATTGCGCTATTTCCGGTATATTTACAAGGTTATGTACCGGATTATAGGTAATCATGTGAAATTTTATCTACCTTTTTGGTGCTCCAGAAGTAGCCTCCAGAAGAATTGTGCAAAAATATGTCGCACAACCTGAATCCGCTACACACACACTATTTTCAGGTTGTGCGCCATCTTGGTGCACACTGTTTCCCTCTTTCGCGCTGTTTCCCCACTGTTTTGTGCTGTTTCGCGATGTTTTGCGCTCTTTGCGGTGTTTCGCGCTGTATTCAGTAAGTAGTAAGACCGACAAAAAACTGTTCGCAACATCCGTCAAAATAAAAACCAGTTTTATGTAAATGTGCATTAGGGCCTGGAAATCCTGTAGTAACAATTCAAACACTAAACACTATATAATGTAATACGCCATGGTAGTAACCAGCCCAGCAATTACACACAACGGATCTCAGCTCGAGTACAAAATAGCCGATATATAACACTACAGAAATACCAGGCCAGGGCGTGCCTGCTTTGATAACAACCTGACTACCTCTACTTATAAGCCTGGTTATAGGTTAAGGCATCGTAATATTAATCGTTAAAACACTTATAAGAGCGTCTGCCTGGATGTGCAAACAGAAAGCGCAAATAGTATCCGTCTAGATCTGATAGCACTGCTTATAAAAAAGTGAATACTACTAGACTTTCGCGGCCGGCAATATATTGAATGTCTACGTTATTTGACCTAAAAAAAATTCTTAGTCATGATCATCCCTCCACTTTGAATAGTACCAATTTTATGTAGGGTCAGAAAACAGTTCACCTTGAGCCAGCAAACTGCAACATCTCAGATAGATTCTCTCCTCAACACTTTTTAGTTCTGCTATCACAAAGGAATACCTAAATCCAACTTAACATAGTTGTGTTGCCCTATTAGAGTAGTAATACCAAAGATGCACGGTCCCCACATGACGAATAACACGTACTCTACGGTCCTGATCGAAGCCTTATCCCCGGTGTCATCGGTTCCCCGAAATAGTAAAACTCGGTAACAACCCTACTTCCTTCGCCAACTGTAAAAACCCTCAATCGTCTCGAATATAAATGCGATTGTGCTTCGCGACGCTCAAACATTGTGACAAAACAAACATTGTTAAACGTGACGCAAGAAGAACCGAAAAAAGGTTTAATCGAGCACGCTCAAGTGTGGCCCGACGAAGAAACACGATATTAAAATGCGAACCATGCATAACCGGCCATAAATATTAAACAATCCTTATTCGCAAAGGCCCCTGTTTACAGAGTTTATTCCGCACTTTTAAAATTAAAGAAGAAAAAAAATTGAATTCTATGGTAAATAAACACGTAGCTAGAATTATATTGCGACGCCTAGTGTATGTATCAAAATTATACAAGAATAGCACCTTCAACGCTATCAGTCAGCTTCCCTCATTCATTTACAATGATTTAATAACCATGAAAATTATCCTAAATTCACTGACATTTCTGAAGGCAAGGAGAAAGCGTAATCCTCTTTTTAGCGTCGGTCTTTATGATTGAGATAACAAAGGATCTTTTGTACTCAAAGACGTCATTTGAGTTCGTAAAATAGAATGAGTTTTTCTCTGATTCTAACCGCTATATTGTAAAGCTTTACAGTGTTTGGTAGAAATCTCAAAACCCCATTCCACTCTCAGACAAGTTCAAGCCTGTTGAGAACCTCTAAAGATCGAGTCGAATCACTGCCCTTCCCGAATTAAGCCAAGTAACTGCTGTTTCGATTCCCAGGTTAAGTCAAAGTAATAGATTACATAAACAGCCTCAAAATGAATGAAATCAAGTAATTCATTTCTTCACTATGCTAAAAATGCGCGCTAGACATACACAAGTTGGAAAGAAATATAGAAAATCGCATTCCAAGGTGAAGGGAGATGCCTAAAACCAATACTGTTTATCGATCGGCGGCACTTTGGGGGAAATCTAGCAGAAAATGATAAATAGAAAGAAAGTCGAACTAAATATGTTATTTGAAAAACAACAGGTGGTATATACCAAGCGTCGCCGTTTCAACGAAAGAAAAATGCCGGTCACATTGCACTAATATTCGAAACTTAAACCTACATTATCTTGGAAGTCAACATTTATTGACAACCTTTATCTCGGTATTTGGAGTTGAAAAAATACGTTTTCCTTTCCTTCAACTACAGTATATTGTAATGATTCCCAATCCTAATTTTCGAAGCGTGAACATTTAAATTTTGAAAAATTTAAATTTGAAAATATTACAAAGATATATGTCATTTTTCAGCTGCTATTCAATCATATAATGCAATAACCCTGGAGTTACGGCTCTCGCTTGTTGAAAATAAGCAATCGTCAAAATTGAAGACCACGAGCCCAGGGTTATTTACTGGATCAGAAAAACTTTTTAGTACAAAGCCTTCGCCACTAATGCAAAAATATGAGATTATGGAAAAACACCACACCACGTTTTAAAATATAAAATTAGTTATTATCTAGTTAGGGCTAGGAATGCTTTGAATTCCCAGCGCATTCCGAGCCCTAATTGGACAATTACTGGTTTTCCTATTTTAAGCGTTGGCGGGGTCGATCTAAACTCCTTTCGGCTATAATTTATCTGTGCGCGGTCGGACTCGGGACCCAACTAAAAACTCCGGAGACGCATTTTGTCAGGAAATCGACTCTTGATTTTTAAAATCCTCTTACATGACTCACGCCTCATTCATTACATGCCCGAAACAATAAAAATCGTCAATCATTCTTGACAGCGTGCGACTGTTTCGTCAATAAAATAATGAAGGACTGATCTTTTGTACAGAACACCGCCACCAATGCGAGATTTGTGAAAAACAACTCCGCCACGTTTTCAAGTAACAAATTGGTAATTATTCAGTTAGGGTTAGAATTAGGAAGTATTTGAATTTCTAGTGCAATATGCATTCATATCCCTGATTCTAAATGGACAAATATTCATTTTATTATTTTGATAATTTGCGAGGTGCTTTTTCGCGGTTGCTCTGTACAAAAGGCCCCTATGACTTGAAATGACTAAGCGTTAAGGAGTTAATTTGTATCTTTAGCTTCTGTGGAATATATTCGACATTCCACTATTTCTCAATCTACCCGAAAAACCAAACTGGGTTATATCACCCCGCCAGTCCTCGCTATACCAGCAATCCCCAGCCTTTTTGAGCCTCAAATAGGTAAACCTCTTACATTCACTTCTGGAAACGACAAGCCAACTGCGCTGCGGAAACAAACTACAATTCTAATTTTTATATAACGCCTACCCTTACACGAGAAGGGCGTCTTGAAAAATTGATAAGTTCCACAAAAACGCAGAGCCTAAAATGATAAATATTTTGCTAGTTGGCCAATTTCATGATATTCACCCCTTGTGTATTTTTGATTTCGTGCCAAGCTTGTTTATTTTATAAAGAATTATTGGCTAAGTTAGTTGGATTCGATTATAACTTTGTCAACAATGGAATATTTAGCTGGTAAAAAGGTAAATATTTCTTTTTTTAAATTCGGTCCAGCAAAGTTACTCTTCCGATGCAGTTTCCTATATACGACGAACTTTATACAATTTTCGCCCGAACGATGCTCTATAAAAGCAACCACTTTTAACGTAATAAGCTACAATATTTCAGAAGGTCAATGATATTTACTGGAAGCCATTGTGTGCCCAATTTATTAAGCCAAAACGGTGACGCGTATATCGGTTATTCGATTTGAAACGCGCGTTGATGTTACAAATATTCTTAGTTTTATTGAACGATTTGGTTCAATTGTGTTGCTATTGGCAACGTGCCAAATCGGTATGTCATCAAATATATTGAGGTGTTCTGTGAGCAAACAATACAACCTTTAACGACACAGAACGAACCCGGTGACTTAATTTGTTCATTTACTATTCTGTAACAATGCTCCCAAATTAGATTTATTGTTGTGTAATAAAAGGACTCGTTGAATAAATATTATTGCAAAATAAAGTAATTTAAGAACAATGAAGAGGTATGCGTGGTCGAGATTAGGACGACGAACAGTTGTTTTCAAGAACTCATGACGAGTAAAGAGAAAATCATCCCGTATTCCTTGAAAACTCGGTAGTCAACAAGTCGGATTACAGATTTCTCTCTTCCGAATATGCTTTCGCGGTTCATGAACTCGTGAAGGGTAAAGAGAAATGTCTGGAAACGAATTCTTTTCATTTGGTCCTTTTCTATATGTACCGGTATTTGTTTTTGAAATCGTAGAGTTCGTATAACTATGAACAGCGTCGGCGAGCCCGAGTCAGTGACTCCGGCTCCATTTACCTAAATAAAATGACTCGAACTCGTTAACCGTTAGAGAGACTTGACTTCATGATTTACTCGATTTCGAAGGACCTGTGACTCGCGCTCCTTACATATCTACCATCACTTTATGGGAAGGAAATGTTCAAACACAACAGATTGTCAATTTTGATGAACTAACCAATTTTGATCCCGGAATGATAGTATCTCCTAACATAAGAACCACTGCATTGTCGGAAAGAACGGTTTAAACACATCATATTCACAATTTTGATTACTTAAATATCTATAATAGAACTATCCCCGACTTTCACGGAAACGTCCACTGCTGCGCATATACTTTTCACA